GTTTGGCTTAGGTACTTGAGCTTTGCGTATGCCTTTCTCGGTGTACTGCTTCATACGGGAGACTTTGGGGGCAACTGGCGAATAATGGTTCAATCTCACTATTTTAATGTTAAAGTACTTGCCCTATATTCTTATGCCACCCTTCAAAAGTGTGAAAAAGTCTATTTTTTTACGGAACTCAGAAGTTTGTGACGTTGCCACGTCACGCCAGTGTGTGGGAATCTGTCTTTTCTCGGGATCCCTTGAGCAAACAGCATCAAACATACAACTCTTTGCGAAGCAGAACTGTGAACGATGGTTTCTTTGGTCCTATAGCGAACCGGAGCTGACGGGGCCATATAGCTCTCGTATTTTCCCGAATAGTGAAGCTAAAAACGTGTCCCCGATGCCCCTACGCTAGTAAATAGTATGTCTTTTGTTCGGGCAAGGTCCTCGGTAATAAATGACCTGTACGCTGTACTAACATTAAAAGTGTTTAGTGCTAATTTCAGATGTAATATGGCGTCCTTTCAGAGTTGCTTTTTTCGGCCCTGCCTTTCGCGTGTCCGTTCTGTTTTCGAACGTCCTATACATCATTGTGTGTCCTCGCCCTTTCCATGGTCCTGCTCGTATCAGATCGCCTCCTTCTTAACCTCCAACCCGTCTCGAAAAAGTAAGTTGCTGGTTTAGGGCCTCGCTCCACTATCGACATGCACAAAAGACAAAAATCCGGGCGGTGTATCTTTCCATGTTCTAGGGGAAGATTCACTCTCGTTTTGTACATTTGGAGAGCAGTGGAACGAGGCTCTTTTTCACGCTACTTCAAGGCTCCTGGAGTTCGGCTCCTGCTGGAAATGGGATCCAGCTGCCCATTCTTATCTACATAAATATTATTAAGTATATTCCCCTTACCTGGGGCCTCGTTCCACAACTCACCACATGCAAAAAAGATTTCTTAGCGGAAGGTTCATTATCATTTTTCACATGTCCTGAGTGGTCGAGCGAGGCCTATTAATAATCAAGTACATTCTTGCTTCCCCCTGCCCTCCCCTCCCCCCCCCACCAACAATCCCTTTTCCCTGAGTGGCACCTGTAGAAACAGCCTCCGGCGACCCTTTCCGATTGTCTTTCGAAACATCGTGAAGTTATATTCCCCCCCCCCCCCCCCNTGAACCTACAACATACACACACATGAGCTATGAAGCAACTAGGAAGGAACCAGTACATCACCAAGTGAGAGAAAGACTGAACTTGCACCAATGAGGCTACAACACACACATGTATGAGCTATGGAGCAACTAGGAAGGAACCAACACATTACCAAGTGAGAGAAAGACTGGACTTGTACCAATGAGACTACAACACAAACATGCATGAGCTACGGAGCAACTAGGAAAGCACCGCCACATCACCAAGTAAGAGAAAAATTGAACTTGGACAAATGAACGTACAACATACATACACATGAGCTATGAAGCAACTAGGAAGGAACCGACACATCACCAAGTGAGAGAAAGATTGAACTTGCACTAATGAGTCTACAATACACACATACATGAACTATGGAGAAACTAGGAGGGAACAGACACATCACCAAATGAGAGAAAGATTGAACTTGCACCAATGAGTCTACTGTACACACACATGTGAGCTATGGAACAACTAGGAAATCACCGCCACATCACCAAGTGAGAGAAATAATGAACTTGGACAAATGAACCTACAACATACACATAGATGAGTCATGGAGCAACTAGGAAGGAACCAGCACATCACCAAGTAGGAAAAAGATTGAACTTGCACCAAGAGCATACAGTACACACACATGTGAGTTATGGAGCAACTAGGAAAGCACCGCCACATCACCAAGTGAGAGAAAGACTTAACTTGTACAAATGGACCTAGACATACACATACATGAGCTATGGAGCAACTAGGAAGGAACCGGTACATCACCGAGTGGGAGAAAGACTGAGCTTGCAACAATGAAACTATAACACACACACATATGAGCTATGTAACAACTAGGAAAACACCGCCACATCACCAAGTGAGAATGTGAGTGAGACTTGCTCAAACACCTGCATAGCACTCATGGAAGCATCCAGCATTGAATCAGATCATCACAAGGTGGAGAAATGGACAATGTGGGAGGTTAGGATCACTAAAGTGCCTCTATGAGTGAAGATCAAAGTAATGATTTACCTCCCAGTGGGGGGGAGAGATAGATCCTGAGGTGAGAATGAGTACATCTCTCCCTCAAGTCGGGAGTGTCATATCCCAAAGTGGCGATTTGTTATGGAGTGAAGAAAATTACCATCATGGAGACATCACTAATGAAGGAGCTACTTTCTGTCCCTTTCCTGAAGAAGAAGATCAAGAGGAGGAAGGAGAGGGGGAGGAAGAGGATGAAGAGGAAAGAATAAAGAAGAAAAGGGGAGAAGAAAAAGACGAAAAAGAAGAAAAAAAAAAGTTTATTCTCCTTGTTCCCACTTACCTCTCTTTTCTTCTCTTGGTGTTGGAGACCAGTCTTGATAAAGTCCCTCCCTCCTTTGCACAGACCTCACTTAGCTATGACTCTCTTCTTCCTCCAACCCCCAACCCCTTCTTATTTCAGCCTCTCTCTGGCTATGACAAGCTCCCAACTACCAAGGCTATGAAGTCCTCCCCTCTAGGAGGGCTGAATGGACTCCTCAATCCTCTTTGTCTCTCTCACAGCTTGGGGGCTATGGCGACCACCTCCTTGGACCACCACCACTCACACTAGCTCCTATGGCTGCCTTTACTAGCCCACAACCTCCTCCAAGTCTCCGAATTGGCGGCGGTTTCCCTCCTCTCACTCCAAGTGAGTAGAGTGCTCATATTAGCTCACTTGGGTAGCATGGGCACTCCTTATGCAAATACGAGTGTGGCGGATTGCTCCCTCAGCTTATGTAGGTTGAAACTGGTGTACCAGCCAACCCATTAATCTCCCCATGTGTCTCCAAGTGAACCGAGGTACCCCCAAGGCCAAATTTCACCACGAGGCCTCTTCGGGGGCACCTGGGCCTCATTTTAGCCAAGTACATGCAGTCTGAGTGGTTGGTACCAACTCGGAACGCCTCTTGGTCTCCTCAAGTTTTTTTTCCTTTTGTCAAATGATGCCCCCTTGAGTTCAAATGGCCAAAGGGCAGCCTCACTTGAAAGAAAAATGCCTTATGGACCTTTTTCTGACTTTTTGCTGTTCCTATCCCATTTTGGGTAGGCCGAGATATTTTCCCACATCTTGGAGTAATCTCAGCCTTAGATCTGGCTAAGATCCAAGACTATCATTATTCCGAGCTACCCCCAAGTGATCCTTGCTTCAATTTTGAGCCCCCATGCTCACTTTTTCTGTTTTTGGTGCATCTGGTTTTCTTTTTGGGCCAAATGCACAGTTTCAGTCTTTTCCTTCTTTTATTTCTTTCCATTTTGGGTTGCCAACTCATTCTAGAGTTGACCGTTTGAGCTGGCCCCACAAAAAAAACGGCCATATGTTCTCAACCATGGGATATGATTTCAGATCCATGACTCACCAAAAAAATGGTCAACTCCTTTTTGTTTTTTACTCATTTTTGTCTTTTTAAATTAAGATATTGCTGAGATAATGCCCTTGGTGCCCCAAGGGAATTATCTCTGCAATCCGGATTGCCCTCCACAAAATTTGGAGGGATGAGATCACAGTAGGGACCTGTCCCTACTGTGCCAGTCCCAACTGACCGGCAAATTCTCCTTTACTATTTTCTTCCTTTCTGTTTCTTCCTCCCTCCTTTTTCTCTTTTTTTTTTTTCCTTTTTCTTTTATTTTTGTTGTGACAAATGTCAAGTTGCTGTTTCTAGGTCTTAGAACCTCATTCATGACCAGGTTCATGGCCAGTAGTTGGCCGTTGCAACTCGGATTGCAATAATGCACAGTTTCAGTCTTTTCCTTCTTTTATTTATTTTCATTTTGGGCTGCCAACTCATTCTAGAGTTGACCGTTTGAGCTGACCCCACAAAAAAACGGCCATATTCTCTCAACCATGGGATATGATTTCAGATTCATGACTCACCAAAAAAATGGTCAACTCCTTTTTGTGTTTTTACTAATTTTTGTCTTTTTAAATTAAGATAATGCTAAGATAATGCCCTTGGTGCCCCAAGGGCATTATCTCTGTAATCCGGATTGCCCTCCACAAAATTTGGAGGGATGAGGTCACAATAAGGAGCTGTCTGTCCCTGCTGTGCCAGTCCCAACTGACCGACACATTCTCCTTTACTATTTTCTTTCTTTTTGTCTCATCTTCCCTTTTTTTTTTTTTTTTTTTTTTTTTTTTTTTTTTTTTGGGGGGGGGGGGGGGGTGGGGAACAAAGCTCCAATCTACTCGTGGGGAGCAACACGTGCTGGGAACCGGGCCCAGCGTCCCATATGAAAATTTACATAGAAGTTTGAAAGCTTGAGATACCGGGGCCATTATGAAAACTATATCTATTCTCCGGAGTTCCAGAGATTAATACGTGAGTGGGTTTTATGTTCCGTTGATTCGTAGGGATATACCGGTTTGCAGGTAAAGGGCAAGCAGATCGTAATCTGTTGTTGAGTGCGTTTGTCAGGTAGAAGATGACAATATCGAGTATATTTCCACGGGGAGGCAAATTGAATGTGGCCGTGAGATTTTCAGATCGAATCGAAGGTATCGGTGTACACTGGAGACCAGAAATAAGCTCCAGAGATGGGGCTTGGGTCCCCCCTCTTATTCCGTGCGCACGAATTGATCGTGGTCGGTTTGTGCAGTCACTACAGTGATGACACGATTTTTTGAGGAAATGAATGCAAGGGAACTTTTTGAGAAGATATTGTAAAGAACTTGTAGTTTTCTGACTGTTCTGTGGTCCTTTTGTAAATTTTTTCTGCAGGTCGACCTCAGCTGCCTCGTCGGTTTCCGGCCCATTAACATGTCGCTGGCGAGCGAATATACACACTGCGGTGTTAAGGTTCCCGTTGATCAAATTTAGTGCGAGTTGTGCAGCTTCATGGCATTCTTCATGTTGGGGATCCCAAGAACTATGAATCCCAGTTATGGTGTATTCTTATTTATGCTGAGGGTTTACGTGATGTTGGCTTTCGTTCTCTTTGCACCTTGACCTGGGGCAGGCTATTATCACATCTCCAATGCGATGCACGACATTTGATTGCTACGCGGTGGTAATGCCTCAATGTCCTGAACCATCTGAAAGCACGATGATGATTTGCAAGGCCTAGCCCTTTCAAGGAGAAGGGAATGAGAAAGGAGAAAAAGGGAGTAAAAAGGGAGAAAAATGGGAGATCAATCTTTGGGTGATACAGTTGGTAGTAAGTTTTTAAATTATCGTATGAGCTCATTTCGGTCTGGGTCCATCCATGGCAACCGATGCTCGATCTTTGACCTCTCAATTGAATCTCTAGCGTACACCTGACCTGAGACTTTCTGTTTCGAGGAGGTGGATGTACTCTCGGTTGAAACCTGTGGTTGATGATGGACCGGCGTGCGGCATGCTTGTCGACTCCGACTGGCTGTTCATTCGGTAGAAGTATCGGCCATTAATGGTGCAGAAACAAGTTGTGTTGCCTACATCTTGTCGATTCGTGGCAATTACAGCGTCTTCGGTGTCTGGAGTTCACGAGGCGGCTTCTGATTTCTGGAGGGAGAGTTCTTGTTGCGGTGGGGGGTATTGTTTGACCGGAAACGTGTCGCCCCTTTGGGACTTCGCTGTTGTACTGAATATGTCATGGGTGAGGTGCTTGGGTACAGACGCAGTGCCAACCGCCGACGGCGATGTGCGGTACCTGCCACCGGTAATTACGTTGGGCACAGTCGGTAAGAAGGAATTTGCTTCGGCGAAGGGGTTGTGAATGATGTGGCTTCGCAAAGCATAGGCGGTGATTCTTGTGTCTTTCTTGTAAATATCTTACTTAGGTAAACTGCACCACACCAGTGATTCGCGGGCCAGCCTTTGTTGTGGAAAGCCGACGAGAAGCGGGCGATTCAGATAGAAGGCTGGTGATTTGTCTTTTTCTTTGCACGGGACCCGATCCTGGAAATGTAGTGTGGATTAATAATTATCTGAAAGCCCCTCGAAAGGGGGGTACACTAAGAACAGCTCGGAGTCGGGCTTCTGGAGGGGTCTGCAAGTAGCTACTTCGAGCGGAAAGTATGAGAGCACTTAATTCCGTCCCTAAGTGACTCTGAGAGTGTAGCTTGGTCGGCCTGTTGGTTGGTTCAGGACTTGTATGCTCAATACTCGTCAAATTTCCGCTGGACGTCGAGTGACGCTAGAGTGTATCTAGCTGGTCGGCGTGTTGAATACGTCCCTTAGTGACGATACCTACAGTTCCTTTGTACTTGCCCTTCTTGGCTTGCACTTTCCCTTTTTGGATTTGTCCCTGTTGATGTTGCTTGTCGTTCTTAGAAATGTGAATATAGTGCAGGTTACCGACCACCTACAGCAGTTATCAGAGATGGGGTTTGAGTCTCTCGTTTCCAAGGACGGAAAATGGTTCTGGTAGCTGATGGACTGACGTCCTGATGATGTACGTGTTTCCTTGACAAGCTGGATCTCCTAGTCGCTGAGAATAATCCTCCCCCTTCTATTGTTGTCATTTCGTTAAGACCAGAAAGTAGTTCCCAGATGGCGGTGGTGCCGTGAATATATTCTTTGTTGGACTTCCTGCAATAAGATATTGGCGACTTTTTGCATGCCTGTGTGGTCTCATTTCATCCGGCTACTCTTCTTCCGTTCCGTTTTTCAACTCGTCGGAGCGGCGGTCGAGCATATGCGTTATCGCAGTTACTCGGATAACGTTCTGGACACAAGTACAGAAGAGTTGTACTGTGGCTTGTGAAGGAGATCTTTCAGCTTTTGCACGTTTCCGGCTCTACGCCACCCATCTCTTGTTTGTTAAGGGGGTGACCCTTTTCATTTGGATTTACGTTTGCCGTGGCTCCTTGGAGATAGAATGGGATCAAGGACACGCATGCAGCGGCTTCTGAAATCGCTCTTTAGGTTTGACAAATTTTCATTTTAAGGGATTTGGCGGCTCCTGAAACCGCTCTTCAGGGGCTTTTGAAACCGCTATTCAGCAATATTGTATTCACCGGATTGCATCCGGATTTCAACTTGAGGAAGAGTTCCTTGCGTGTACTCTTCAGAAACATGGGCGGGGTAGTTTTGCGATTTCCAGTTGAGGCTCGAGAGTCTCGTCGTGAAACTGGAATAGAAAATAGAAAATAGTCGGTCAACTTGATTTTCGTGATATCCCCGTTCAAGTTTTGGGGAAGCATTATTCTTCTTGACACTGCAAATAATATGTGAGGCATTGCGAGCTATATTTCTTCGTTTTTCGATACCAGCGGAGGGCGAGCTATATTCGCCTTGAAATCCCCCTCGTGGGAAAATTCTTGACATTGCTGTAAGTGAGCTATAATGTTTTATTCCTTTTCGTTTTCCTTCCCCGTTCCAGGGTATTGTTAATACGCGACAATTCAGAAATGTCAACGCTCGTATTCTGACGAGTTGGCAAACAACAATATCCCTAATTTAAATTTCGTGTGACGAAGGCTGCACTGCCGGCCTGTTTGACAAATGCCGATCGTGTGTCTGTGGCGGCGCATGGCGCATGTACATGTGACACTGTGTGAAAGAGAAAAAGTGGAGGGCGTTAGGTTCGACTGGCCCAGCTAGACTGCTGTCAAATGCCTCACCACTTCCTCCCGCGTCCTTTTGTGTGTCACACGGTTGTGTTTGTTTGTGTGTGTGTGTGTGTGTGTGTGTGAGAGAGAGAGAGAGAGAGAGCGACCGAGAGAGAGAGAGAGAGAGGGTGAGTTTGCTGCGGTGCTCCTCACAACTCGCTGTACTCTCTCTGTCCTCCCCTTCCCGTGCGTTGAAAACAAGAGCTATTTTCCATACTTCGTTTCTCTTTTCTTGTTTTTGTAAAGAAGTAAATCTATTGTTGTTGTTACTGTTGTTGTTGCTGTTTTTGTTTTTTGTTTTTTTATTCAGTAAATTTTTACTCGTTTTTTTCTTGTAAAAGAAGGTCGGGGAGGTAAACGCCCGGTAAGTCCAGGCTTGTCACGGATCGGCATACCGGTCAGCCGAGCCTCGGACTCCATAGCTGGGCGATGCACTGGTAATTTAAGTGGTTACGAAATGAACAAGACAACTTCTGTCAGTGGGTCATCACAAAACGTGGGACTACACCGCTGATGGCCAATTGAAGGTGTAGGACACAGAGAAGGGGGGTGGTTGGGGGGTGGAAGGTCGAGAGATGTCTCGCCTCAGCTATTGTACTGGTGGCCAGTTTAAGGTGTAGGACACAGGTTTTGGCAACTACGGAAGAGTGGTGTTTGGCGGATTAGTTGCGGCATACGAGAGTGACCATTAGCTTTTAATTAAATTATTACAGTCACCGTATTAAGAAAGGAAGGCATTCGCCACTCCTCTGTGATACACTGAAGGAACACACTGACAGTGAAGTTGACGCTGAAAAATTGGAGAACGCATTTTGAAGTTGGGTACGCGTATAAGTCGGCGCACAGGAAAAGTAGGGTATTACCTTAAGTTGGACAGGGTGTGGGTATATATTATGCAAGTTGGGCACTCATCTGTGGGTATAACGGGTATTCCCATCTTTAAGTGGGTTACAGATGCAATTTTAACTGAAAAAAAAAAGCTCGAAGACTACCTGAACTCAACGATGGCTACCTTGGGACAATCCTTACGGCCATACTTTCTTTTTTTTAATAAATAAAAGGATTGAGTTGGACCATTTCTTGACTTATGCGTATCATCCTTGTTCGGGTCCCATCCCCCGAAGGACATGGCCATACTGTTTTGAAAGGGCGATGGGGTTGAGATATTGTCATCGAAACTGACCAGCCCCAGGTTGAGAGGTAGTTGGTTTTATTCGTCGAGTTCGATGTGGGTTCGAATTTGGATTTATATTGTAACAGCTCAAGGGTGTACCAACTGAGCTAGCACCGTCGGTCATTACCACATTGTGACTGCGTAAAAAAAATGCAAAAAGCACTCGTTGTGGCTGCTAGTTGGACCGCCCCGCTTCCCGCCGGGTCAGCCGCATGTTCGCGCGGAAATTGTCGCGCGGAGATTATTGTATTGAATGAAGGGCTGTTTGGCGAACGGGGCCATGTCCCACCTACCGCAGTTGTTCACTTGTGGCCGTTGAGGAGGACGACTCGACGGTGGATAATGAAGAGCCCAGGTCAGTGGGACCGGGTCCCCGATGTGACCGTTGGATTTCGGCCGTCAGTACCCATGTCGTCGCTGAGTTCCCGTTCGGCAACTGGGGGAATGTTTCACTAGCAAGTAGGATTGGATTGGACCCTGAATCTGGATGTTTTTCTCTCAGATATGCGGAAAAGCAGATCTGTTTCCGTTTTCTGCAACCTCCCTGCGAACACGTCCACGTTCAAGCCCTAAAATCCTATCCACTTGGCCGGTGGGACCACGCCTATTGTCCTCACACGTGCGACGCCGCTTCCTTCCTGGAGGTTGCCGCGCACAGCTTGCCCCCGCTACCACCGCCCGCGACCAATCCCACTGGGTCCGGCGGGAGAGTACGTGGAGCGACGGCCTGAAATGGAAAGCCCGAGTGAGTTTTTTTTTCTTTTTTTGAGTGGGACGGAGTTCCTTCTTGGAAATGCCACGCCAGCGGGAATTACACAAGTAACAAATACCGCGAATTTGTCTGCAGTCGTTGTCCACGTGTGTTTCGGAGGACTGCGGAGGCATCGGCTCGATGACGGTGGCGGTAAAACTCTATTATTTCATTTATTTATTTATTTATTTATTTTACTGCTAAAAAAAGCGGCGGGTGCTCGTCAATTTCGTTGTTGATGTGGGCCCCTCTTCATCTGGCCGTCGGCTGTTCAGGTTTGCCGGGCGAGCTCGCTGTCTATAAGTATTTGTGAGACTACTTTTCGTACTTTCTATATGTTGTGCTGCGTAGGTCTCAGTGTACACGAAATCCGATCACAGGCGATGCAAGGTGGTATTCCGTGACGACGTGGGGTGACATGAAGTGACCCCGAAGCGAGAGCGGACAGCTGCCGGTGACGTAGTACAGATCAAGAGAGAGTGTACGCGTGATACTCACGTGTGTATCCACCGTAGAAGACGGACGGAGGACGATTGGGATTGTCTCGTTCGCTCCCTGTATCCACACCATGCAATGTGCTTCTACTGTGCGAAGTCTATCGAAATAGGAGTGCTATGTTGCCTCTCCTGCATCGTCATGTTAACGGGGCCCATTGCCCTGGGCTTGTACTTCTTCCTGCGGCTCTGCGGTCGCACAATCCTAACAAGGTGGAGATCGAATACAAGACCAACTACACGCTGACCGTTCACTCCGGAGCGAACTTGACCGATCGGTGAAGCTTCTCTCCCGCCCTTCTCGCAGGGAAAGCGGAGTGATAAAAATGTCACTGTTGGCTGGTCGACTCCTAAGGAGCTTGATGAATCGCTACTGTCGGTGCTGAGTCAAAACATCACGAACGATCTGGTTATTGTCACTTTAACGGGCATACTGGATGCCAAAGCGGTGTATGTCGGCCTGAGGTCTCCAAGGATCCATGTAAGTGAATCTTCAATTCCTCTCTTTGTGTCTAGCCTCTCCTTGTGTCTATGTAAGCTTCCTTCTTMGGTGTTCCGAGTTGCAAGCATATAAATCCCCCTCAGTGKACGGGTTCTTCCCTCCCTTCTCGCCCCCTTCCCTCCCGCCCTCCCCTACACACGCAATCTCCTCTTCCAGTCCCCTTCTCTACCAGGTTGTGTTACCTGACTTGTCGATTGACGACGYTCTATTGGCATGCTAATCACAGGTGTTGAGCGTAATTGCGAAGSGTATCTGGTGGGAGATATGAGATAATGTTTCCTCATCATGTYTGGTTGGGAATCGTGTTTTGTGACTTTGGTTTGTGAACTCCGGTGTTGGCTGTTTCTGGTCAGCTACTGACGTTTTGGTGGAATGTATTGGTAAATTAATGTGTTGTTTTGTTCGTCCATAACAGAGCCACTAATTGTGAGCTGGGGTACGTGATTCACTGTCCAAAAACGACCTTGCACTTTGGTTTCTTCTTTTTCGATTTTTGTTATTTTCAGCTCATTACGTTCTACAGGATTCACGTCAGGATGTTGAACCGCGGTCCTTCTCTTTCATATCCAAAACCGCGGTTTCCGATGTAATCTATATAAGCGGATATTTGATGAAGCTCATGGTCTTCTGCAGTGCCCACAGCTGAGGCTTCTTGCTGATGTGAGACTTGTTTAGGTGTGTTGATCGGGTGGTTGTGTAATTTATTCCCAGACATCACAGGCGATGAGACGAGTCATCTTTCATCGCTAGCGGTTCATGGATATCATGCATGATATGCTTACTAATTAATTGGAGTGTGGGCAGTCCCATTTGTTCATAGATTAGACTATGGACGTGTATCTTTTAGGTGTGTGCGAACTTGGGACTTGTCCTATGTCCATTCGCCGATCCATGACGTCCTCTCCCATTAGATCTTCTCTTACGCTGGAATTCCCAGCATGCAAGTGCTGAACTTTTAGGACGTCTTTGCATATCGGTGAGTAGCAGTGTGAGGTGGTACACTGGTCGGTCGATAGCCACGTTCTGGATTGGTGTCCTCCGCTTTTGCAGACAAGGTGATTATTGTATTATCCCATTCTATTCCTCTCTCAGGTTGGCATTCCCAGCACGCAAGTGTTTTAACTTTTAGGACTTCCGTGCGTGCCGCTGAGTTGCATAAGAAGGTGATTCTCATAGATCACCAGTTTTGTAGCCACTTTCTGACTCGATAGTCTCGTCTCGGGTCGAATGATTTTGTATTTGTGTTCTCAGCTTTTGTCAAGGTGGTTATGATCAATCTACGCTTTTTGTGGAGTTGATGATGATCGATCCTCGTCATTGCAAACAATGAGGTGATGTTCGACTATGCTAGAGCAAATAGCGATGATAGTGAGGGCAGTTGTATCGAGGTCGCCTGCGGAATTTCCAGCTATCAAGTTCCCTCGGTCTATCTAGTTCCTAATCTGGCATGGCGGTGCAGCCCTGGCATTAAGATAACCGTAACTTACTTTGTGAAATAAGACCCTGAGCAGCTGGGTAGAACCGGATCACCGTCTGTAAATGAGGCTAACCGTTCTATCCTAAATCTGTGACTAGCACGGCGCAGAGGACATAGTCCTGGCCCTACTGACAACTCCCCTAAAGGCCCACAGCGGCCCTGCTTAATCGAGTGTCCTGGTTTGTCACATCTCTAACTTATTCTACTGAGTTTTGCCAATGGATGATCGAACACCCATTGGCAATTGGAAATCACCAGTCCCTGGTTTGAGTGGAGTGCAGCCAGCCTGTTTCCCCGAGCCCAGGTTCGTAAGAACCAGGACCTCTGTTTCCGGCTGCTCCATGCTCTCGTCTTTCTCCTCCAGTCTACCTTAATTGCATGCTTGACCCCGGCCTTGAGTCACATC